TCCCCCCCCCCCCCCCCCCCCCCCCCCCCCCCGTGGGCCGGGTGCTTTGCCGATGGCCGCCCCTCGAGGGCCGGCAGGAGCTGCAGCCGAGGAGTCAGTCCGGTGGGCCACCCAGATTCCAGCTGGCAGCGGCAGCAGGGGACCCTGGAAGGGGCCTTGCCGCGGGACTCGGGCTGCTGCAGCCGCCGCCACCTGGGGGGGGGGGGGGAACGGGGGTCTCCTGGCTCCTGTTCCCTCACTCCCAGTGCTCTGGCCATGCTCAGAGGGCCCCTCCTTTGCCGGTGCCGGACTCGGGGAGAAACAGGCTGCGGCGGCGGTCAGGGAGATGCAGGACTTTTGGCGTGGGCGGGGGGCTTTTGCGGGGGGTCCACTTTGGCGCCCTAAGGGGTGGCCCGCGCTCTAGGCGAATGCCTAGTTCGCCTAGCAGGTGAGCCGGCCCTGGGTACGTAGGCTGAGTGATTGGCCCAGAGTCACCCAGCAACTTCCATGGCAGAGTGAGGCTTATGAACCTGGGTCTCCCAGTTCTTAGTTCCCATGCTCGAACCTCAGCACCATGGCTTGTATGTGTGTCTTTGTGGAAGGTCAGGTCTGTAAGTGGGACTGAAGTGCAACAAAAGGAGTGGTCAGTGGGGGCAGACTTGAGATTTGGAGGAGAGTGGATGGGTGTGGATGAATCACACAGAGGTGGTGGAAGAAAAGGGCTGATATAGGAATTCTGGTCATTGATAGGTGGCTGGTGAATCTGTGGAGGGTTCATGGTTTTTTTGGTGTATTGAGCAAGTGCTGAGGGCGGTGGCTCCAGTTACTCGAAGAATTTATATTATATGTGTACATTTTGGGTTAAACCTCTGTAAGTGGGGAAGAAACCCTGCTTCACACACAAAAATGTTTCCGGAGTTGCAAAGGAAAAAGTTGCTGATCTAGTGTAGTAGGAAACTGTATTTTCAGAGAGGGAAGAGGACCCCTGGGACTACTTGTGGACAGGAAAATGGACAGGAAAAGTTTCCCTAAGGTGGGAGGTGTATTCAAAGTGGATTATACATAGTGAGTCAGTACAGTTGACAAAATGGAATATTCACAGTGCTCCCCACCAATGTTCCCTCTAAGCTGTGGAGTCCTGTGAGCAAAAATTCTACTTTGTGAGCTACTGGCAATAAAGTTGTGAGCAAGTAATTTGGCTGCCGCATAAATTAGTTTGCTCTGGAGCCATCCTTCCTGACCTAAAACAAAAATGTGTGAGCTGGAGGCTAAAAAACAGTCAGCTAACTCACACTAACTCAGCTTAGAGGGAACAGTGCTCCCCACCTACCAATAAAAGGATGCCACAAGTAGCAGGTAGGTGGGGGAGCAATGTGATGCTGTACTTATTTATTTATTCATTTATTCGATTTATATCAATAATTCAAATTAATGCAATAATTCAAAGCAAGCGGTGTCAGTTATCAAAGACTGTTAAATAAAGGAAATATTGTAAGAGTGTTAATATTTTAAGCGTGGTTGTATTTTGAGTAAAAAATAATCTCATTAAATGGGTTTGTCTGTGTCCTCTATAAAGTTTATATCTCTGGTACCTGGCATTACATTTTATGGCACACATGGCCCAGCTCGACAAAGTGACATTTATGTCAGAACCAGCCCTTGTAACAAATGAGTTTGACACCTTTGAATAGGGCTTTGAAGATCAAGACCAGCACCTTGAATTGTGCCCAGAAATAAATTGGGAGCCAGTGTAGGTGAGCCTTGACTGGAGCAATATGGTCCCTACAACCCACTCCAGTCAACATACAGGTGACCAAGGCTTTTTCATAACCAGGCCTAAACTCAGAGGATAAAGGATCTAAATAATTTGCCTCATCCTGGAACTGTCCAACCAACAACTTGTTGAGTCACGTTGTTCAAGAATTATTGAGACCTCCTGAGTCCAGGATAGCTTCTTTAAACATGGCTGCACCACAGCCTGTTTCAAGGTTGGGGCAACAGTGCATCCTGTTAAGGAAACATTAACTGCCTCTCCAACTTAGTCAGCCAGCCCCCTGCAGTAAAAGTAACCAGGAAGGGTAAGGGTCATACAACAACAGGTGTTAGGCCTCAAAAATTCCAAGGATCCCATCCATATCCTCAGATTGAATAAACTGAAAAGTATCCCAAACGATTGGACAAGACAGCATCCTGGCACCACCTGATCCTGTCACTATATAGCGTCAAAGTCGGAATGGATGCAAAAGATTTTATCTACAAAATGCTGAGCAAAACAGTCACAGTAGGCTACTGAGTAGTCTACCTCCTCCTGCAGGGCAGATCCAACAGGCTTCTGACCACTTGGAACAGCTCCCCCAGCCTACACTGTACAGATGCAATGGTGGCAGAAAAGTGTTGATTCATTGCCACCATCACTGTCACAGAGCACACTTTAAAGTGAGCTTCTGCCCACTTCTTTTTGAATTCATCCTGAGTCTTCCTCTGCTGTTGCTCTAGGTGTCTCCCTTTCCTTTTCATCACCCACGTTCCCCCCGAGATAGAAATGATAGAAGCAATAAAGTGATGCCTTAAATTAAAGAAGGAAGCTAACCATTACGGAAACATTTTTAAGGTCATTTCAGATGTTTAAAGGAAGTGGTTGGATATTTTAGCTTTAGTGGCACAGGCTGCCCATTGTGAATGCACTGTTACAAGTTATAGTGGCAATATGTAATGAAGAAACCAGAGAGCAAGTTATAGTGGCAATATGTAATGAAGAAACCAGAGAGCACAATATTCTTGTCATTTTAAAACATCCTTAAAACATGTCCTTGAGTGTACTGCTTTACTTTTTCATATGTTAGTGAATAGTTGCCAATTTACATTCACTGAGAAAAGTGAAATTTTGCATTTGGGAACCTACAGACAATTCTAAGGAGACCCCCTGAGAGGTAAATCTCACCGAGTTCACTAGGATTTAGCCCCAGCTAAGTGTGCATAGGATTGCTGTGTTAGTTGTGAGAAGGTGAAAACCTGCCCTGTCTAGGTGTTTCAGGCCTTCACTGACAGACCTTCATAAGAAGATTTAGTGTGTACAGGGCAGGGCCACTTTACTGGTTTAGGTAGTGTTTTTAAATTTACAGTTTCAAATATGTAAATTGCTCATGTTTCTGAAATTCCTGCATTTATTTGGGTGCTTGAGAAGGACTCTCAGGTTCATGTATCATCTTCCTTTTATACACTCCTTTGACATGCACATCTGAGTATCTGTGTGCAAAAATAATTCCCATGTTGGCCCTACTTTAGGTATGGTTGACAAAACTGTGCTGTCACTTATCTGAGGCACAATTCAGTCTCATAAACATTCCCGCAGGCTTTCCTTCCTACAGCTATAGCATGATGATGCTGAGACACCAGTACAATTGGAGCAACAGTATTTAAATGATGGTGCAACGGGTTTACAACTGGGCCACTGGACATGGGTGAACTCCCTTAATTACCAGCTTTTTAAGGGATTGTAGCAGCGCCTAAAGGAGCTGCGGTGGCTCAAGTGGTTAAGAAGCTGAACTGCAGGCTGTGGAAGGTCGATAGTTCAGCAGTTCGAGATCAGAGTTGCTGCATGACAGAGTGAGCTCCCGTCTCTAGTTCCAGCTCCTGCCAACCTAGCAGTTCAAAAGCAAGAAATTGCAAGTAGATAATTAGGTACCACTTCGGTGGGAAGGTAACAGCGTTCCGTGCGCCTTGGTGTTTAGTCATGCCGGCCACATGACCACGGAAACGTCTTCGGACAGCGCTGGCTCTTCGGCTTTGAAACGGAGATGAGCACCACAACCCTAGAGTCGGATTCAACTGGCTTTCAAGCAAGGGAACCTTTACCTTTACTAGCAGTGCGTAATCTTTCCTAACAAATGGTTCCACGACTTTATAAGCACTTCTTAAGTATAAATGTATATTTAATTTAAAACTTGTCTTTTGTGATTGAGCATTGTAATTACGGTGAATTCAGCAACAGCACAATCTATGGATGGAATTTTATTTTAGATGATGAATAGTAGCAATTTTTCACCACTGATACATGATACCCTGAAGTCATACAAAGTCTCCTTTATTCAGAATCAGGGATTTTCTGCAGCAACACATGTTCTCTGTATCATTGAACTATAGGCCTACTACATTGTATTTTTTTAGGTTTCAACTATGGGAAAATGTAGAAATACGCTAAAATTCCTGATGCATGCTGTATTGGAAAAGTTGTAGACAAAATATCATATAAAGACTGTATGTTGGAAGTAGTTTTCCCCCCAATGTTAAGAACAGTTCTATGTTAGAAATTGACTGTAATATGTCTAAACAAGTGCTCATGGAACTGGTATATTGCTGCAAGCAGTGTGGAGTTTTGGGCTGGGGCGTCACCAGTACACTGATGATACTCAGCTGTGTGTGTTGATGGGCGGCTGTCCACACACTACCTCTCAAAATCTGACTGGAAAAGAGTTGGCTGAGATTGAATCCAGCTAAGACGGAGGTTCTGTGGCTGACTGGCTGGGGGGTTCAGGTTTGGGGTGCCAACTCCCCACTCTTAACACTGGCATAGACTGTAAGGAGTTTGGGTGTGGTTCTTGATGTCTCCTTATCAGTGGAGGCCCAGATTGCTGAAACTGTTGTTCTTCCAGCTACGCCAGGTGAGGCAACTGGCCCCCTTCCTGTCTCACCCTGACCTAGCCACAGTGATCCATGCAATAGTCACCTCTAGATTAGACTACTGTAACTCACTCTATGCTGGCCTACCCTTGAGACTGATCCAAAAACTCCAACTGGTCCAGAATGTGACAGCACAGGTCCTGACTGGAACATCACGGACAGCGCACATTCTGTGCTGTCAGCTGCACTGGCTTCCAGGGGAGTTCCAAGTCAGGTTCAAGATTTTGGTATTGACCTTAAGGCCTTAAGTGGTCAGGAACCCACTTATCTTTGGGACCATTTCCTCTGATATGTCCCCTGAAGAGCATTATACTCTTCAGAGAACAATCTACTGGTGATCCCCAGCCTAAAAGAAGTCCAGCTGTCCTTGACCAGAGCCAGGGTTTTTTCTGCCCTGGCTCCCACCTGGTAGAACTCTCTGCTGAACAACATCTGTGCCCTGCAGGACTTAATGCAGTTCCACAGGCTTGTAAGTCACAGATGTTCCACCAGGCTTTTGGTTGAGGTCAACGATGGATACCGTCGTACCGGCATTCCCTCCCTCTCTTCCTCCCTTCCCTCTTCATTTCTTCCTATCTCTTTTCCATCTTTTTAGAGGGGCAGGGACATAATTAGAAACTGATGTGTTCAACACTGTCTCAGAATGTTTTTATTTATATGTTACTATTTAAAATGTTTTAATCTTATTAATGTTTTTATTACTATGTTGTCTACCACCCTGAGCTGTGTATGCAGGGGTAGGGCAGTCTGTAGATTTGAACAATAAATAACATCTGAGAAGCTTACTGGGCAAAGCAACATTTCCATGAACAGGGATATCTGCATTCCCAAATCTGTTCTGCTCACTCAATCTTTAGCTGTATCTTTCTTAAGCAAGCTTCTCAGATAATATACTGTACTGTTTACATAGTGGCCAAATAGACCTTTTGTGTGTGCGTTATCAGAGCCAATTCATCATACAGGAACCAGTTTACAAGCTACAGTAGGTCAAATGGAAATCACTAGCTCTAGTCTTGGGTAGGCACAGACAGACACTGACATTGTCTTGTTCTTTCCGCAGTATTACTTGGACCCTCCAGCTAAACTGAAGGAAGCTCTTGATAGTTATGGACTGAAAACCGAGGATTTCTTTGTCTTAAAGCATGGAGAATCCCAAGACTTAAATATCAGTAATGATGGATTAGAATAAAAATACATTCAGCTGTTCTGTATGTTCTTGACTGGAAACAGGAGAAAAAAATTAGAGTGGTAATGTTTTTGTAACAATTTAAACTGGATTTTTAAAATTTCAGGTATGTTTGTGGATGATCTAACAGTTCCTTAAACCCTTGCATACTAGCCTACCTAATTGTAAAATTGCAACTTTTTAATAATCCAAATGGAATTATACAACTGAATTATATTAACAACTAGCAATATTATGTAAATAAGCCCGTAAAATGTGATTTGGGCCATTTCCACATGGGTTTATCTACCCCAGGTTCATTCATGCACCTCCTGGGTTTCTCTGATCTTTCTTAAACCTGCTGTGGTGTGATTTTTAGGAAAGATCACAGTAAAGCCTGGATGGCTGTTGTCTGGGTGGAAAAATTCCCATTTTCCTGCCCACGTCGCAGCCATTTTCCCTGACAGTGGCCCTACTGCAGCCATTTTCTCCCCCAGCTGCTGGAGGGCTTTTTTTTTGGGGGGGGGGGTTAAAATTGACAATTGAATATTTTTGTATCAGGTAGCCTTGTAACAAATATGTACAACAGGTTCCTCAGATTCCCATCTTTCATACAAAGTGGGGTGCAGTGGGTAGACACACTGATTTTTTAAAAAAATGAAAGCAAGGAATTCAGGGAACCTGTTGCACCACATAAAGATAAGTTGAAATAATAATCAATTGCTGATTTTTTTAATATGGAAAAAGCCCCAGTGGCCTGAAGGAGACGGAGATGGCCACTGCTGGGGGACCTGGGCCGGGAAGCTGTGGGAACCCTGCCATCTAGAAGCCCATTGCTGCTGCACTGTATCAGCAGCTGCACACAAACCTGTCCCTGTGTGGAAGCCAGCTTCATCTTTAAAAAATATTACTTTGTTTACACAGCACTACTGACACAGGTCACTTGCTGGGAATTACATGTTGGTTGATAGGGCATGTGCACTCAGGGGTTCTTTGATACTGCAGTTTCCAGTCTTGGATGACTAAGCAACATTATTAAGTTTCCCACCCCAACCAAAACTGAGTGTCTGGTTCAGTAATGGAAGGAATAGTCCTGAAAACCAAGGCAGAAGCCCTGTGTGCCCATGTAGATTTGATACATGAGAGGCCACAGCCAGAGACAGGCAACTTTTATAGGATTCTGCATACATTTATACCCAAAAGCTGTGGTAATGGAACAAAATTCCCTTCAATGGCAGCCTAGCTTGCATGTGCTGAAAGGCATGGACCTCAGCCTGTAGAGTCATAGATGCACAATGACCATGGCTTGCAGAGCCACTTCCTGCCAGCAGAGAAAACCGCAGGTATCCCTTTACCTCCTTCTTTCCTACCAATCATATGATCAATGGAGGATATAGTTTCAGTAGTTCCAGTTGAAAAACGATGGCTCCTGGGTGTTCATAGCTGGGCTGTTGGCCTTGCCCTTGCATCCTAAAAGCATTTCTGGTAACTGTGTTTAGGATAACCTTAGTTTACAATCCACTCGCCTGTAAAACAGGCTCATGCTGAAGTCTAGGCAGGTTTACTTGGGAGTAAGGCAGAGGTCAGTGGGACTTACTCTCTGATAAGTATGTTTAGGATTGCACCCTTGTTTTGACAACAAATGGTACTTCCAGGTTACTCTAATTTGGCTGGTTTTTATATTACGTTGTAATTTAAGAACAGCTCAGTAGTCCAGTTTAAAAGATAATGGTACTACCCAGATGGAAGTGGTTTGAATCTTACAACTGATACTGTAACCAGACTAAGTGCGAATAAATGTAGTATTGTAGCCTTACTGTAAACAGTCCTCCACCCTTCACCTCCTCTGAGCAGATTATTAATCCTGAGGACATATCCTGTGCCTTCAAAGCTATTGAAATCATAGGATTTTTGAGACAGTCTTCCAACAGTTATTGCTAAAGCACATTTCAAACAAAACACTGATTTTGCTGAATGCTTGTACATTTTCAAATAAAAATGTAAGATAGATGAGTTTTAAAATGATCTAAGGAAGTGTGCCTTTTTAAAAAAAAGTACTGAAACTTGCCTCACTAATGTATTTTTACTGCTGGCCAGAATCTCTGTACATGCATTGTCATTATGTAATTGTTCTTTATCATAATTCTAAATTATCAAATAATATCTGTTTAACTGAAACCATCACTTTGCTGTTCACTGAAGTCTTTAGCCTTTTTTCTTTGCTTTGTCCCCAGATGCACACACAACTGGAAGGTCCTTAACATGTCATAAAATGATGTGCAAAATGTGTATAGACTGCTTATGGATCTGAAAGTATGATGACTTCTTTAGCATTGTAAAATAGGATCAAATAAACCTGTGTCAAATCGCAAAACTAATTTACAAAATACAGATTAATGCTTTTTCTCAGATATTTTTAATTTGCTATTTTATTACATGGCACGTCCTGCATAATCATCTCTATTGGAATGACTCAGCTAGTTATTATTTCCTGAGAGCCAGTTTGGTGTAGCTAGTTATTATTTCCTGAGAGCCAGTTTGGTGTAGTGGTTAAGTGTGCGGACTCTAATCTGGGAGAACCGGGTTTGATTCCCCACTCCTCCACTTGCACCTGCTGATGTGACCTTGGGTCAGTCACAAGCTCTGGCACAGCTGTCCTTGAAAAAGAGCAGTTTGTGTCAGAGTTCTCTCAGCCCCACCCACCTCACAAGGTGTCTGTTGTGGGGAGGGGAAGGGAAAGGAGTTTGTAAGCCGCTCTGAGACTCCAAGTGAAGGGCGGGGTATAAATCCAATCTCTTCTTCTTCTTCCTGTTCACTCCAAAAACTGCCTTATTGCTCCAATGTGCAGCTTGTACCAAAGAAAGCAGACTGCTGCATCAGAACATTCTCCCCACTTCTGCACTGACTTCTTTTCAAGCAAAGTTTGAGTCCAGTGGCACCTTTGGAGTCAAACTTTGTTCTGCTGTCTCAGACCAACATGGCTATCCACCTGAATCTTCTTTTCAAGCAAGAGCTTTTAATCTCATGGTCAGCTATTTGCCCCCTGGGCTTTTAGGTATCCAGTTTAGCCCACATCTAGTACATTTGCAGGACAGAACAAGGATGCTTCTGCTGCTCCTCTTTGGAAGAGCTGCACAGTCTTCCCACATTCACAATGTCATGGCTCCTCAGAGGTGTGTAATTTGTGGATCTCCCAAAGAAAGATGATACATTTTAAAGAGTCCATTTTCTTCCAACTTTTTGTGAGTAAATATAAATAAGCAAAGGTGAGATATACAAATGCTCCCTCTAAGCTGTGGAGCCTTATGAGCAGAAATTTTACTTTGTGAGCTACTGGCATTAAAGTTGCAAGTGAGCGATTTGGCTACTGCATAAATTAGTTTGCTCTGGAGCCATCCTTCCTGAGCTAAGACAAAAATATGCGAGCCGGAGGCTAGAAAACTGAGCTCACACTAACTCAGCTTAGAGGGAATACTGGCCCCAAACCAGTCCCCTGACCTTGCTATAGGTGAAATTTGGAGCCGTTTGTTAGATGTACTCAGGAGACTGTAGATTCATACATGCCCATCAAGTACCATAATACTATTATCCTCAGCTGTTCTCATGTTACTTGATAATGTTTCTCCTCCCCTCTGTAAAGCTATCAGTAGGCTAGACCCACAGAGACCAGTAGGTTCTGATACCGAAAGGCCAGACTTTTCTCAGGGAGATGTTGTGGGTGATTTTAAAATGGATGCAGGCTCAAAGGAGCATCACAAAAACCCATGCTCTTCTGAGCACTCGCTGAGGAACAGAGTGCTCCAAGTATATGTCCAGAGGTATAACGCCCCACCCCCTTTCGGGGTGGTACTCTGGACAACATGAAGAATCCTCCTTTCAAGTAAGACACAGTTGACCACTCTGTCTGCTTTTATGCTGCTTTGTGGCTTCACAGTTTTGTATTGCCCTTGCAGGTGTCTCACTAGACATTCCACAATTTAACCAGTACAATAGCTACACTGTATTTAATGCTAAAGACCATGCATGTTTTCTTTACACAGTAAAAGCTTCAGTGTGCTAATACTGCTTCTGTAGCAACTGACAGCCCAGTATAAATAAATTTTCTGGATAACAGAGATCAATAGCCCAGGTGGGTGTTGTACAGATAGAACATCCCAGTTTAAGTGAGATGCTGGGTGTGTGCAATATTCAGAGTTTAAATGAAGCCTTAGAGGGCCTAAATGAAGCAGAGTGCAAACAATTATGTACTTCAGCCCTTCCTTCTAGCCTAATCCTAAACTTAGTTGCACCAGTAAATTAAGTGCTTGGAATGTGCATAGCAAACAATTATGATAATTCATCACAAAACATTCTGGTGGCAGTCCAGGAAATGTCCCAGCATAACAAGTTCCTATGCTCAAGTTTAGTTGGGCAGACAAAAGCTCTTATATGTAATGTCTTTTGTACCCATTTCTCTCTAGAGAAATGCTCTGCTTCCACCTGGAGTTTCTGCTGACCTGACTCCACATCTCTGAAGAGGTATCACAAGTCCAAAATGTTTAGTATCAGGTTCAGTGAATGCAGAGTCTTGTACACACATGTCCATATGTATACTAGAGCTCCCACACTCACACAAAGTGTCAGGCTACACACTTTTTCATATACAATTCAGGATTTTAAATACAGATTTTAACATTTCAATCTGATAAATCACCACTGCATTACTAGTTTGGCAACTTGCTCCTTGACTTCTGTGTCATGATGGTGAAATAGAGATGCCAGTTTTTCAGCACACTGAGTTGAATTCCCCCGAAGCATAGAAAAAATTGAATCTTCACTGTGATGTGAGGCAATAGCACTCTCTTCCTTCTTCATATGCTGTGTCAAGTTTGTGGCAAACACAAGGACTCTGAGTAGGACTTCTTTGTTGATGCAGCTATCAAACAGGGATAATAGGAAAGGTGCCTAGAGGGTTAACATGGACACAAAAACAGCTGGTCAGAATAATGAGAAATAAATGTGAACTAGTATACAAATAAATGGCTTCTAAAAATCATGCAAACTAGCTTATAGCTAACTATACATGAAGGTTTAGGGTCCAGGTTAAATTTTCCAGTGGCAGAATGGAACTTTCCTGCCTCCCACTGATCTCCACAAAATGCTGCTCCCGGGGGATAGGGGACATTCCCTGAGAAATTACATGGTGGGGGGGTTCCTACAGTGGAAGGGGGGGTCAGTGGGAATTGCAGATTTAGTCTGGATCCAGCCTGAATTAGTTAAGAGTCTTTGTGGCATGTCAAGAATGTGTCCAGTCCAAATTAAATCCTGCCTCCTAACAAAGTATTGGCTTATATTTTACCTCCTGAAATAATTTTGAACTCTGTCTGGACTGTAAATGTAACTGCCCAGGAAAAGTGTATATTAAAGATACAGAACAAACAATCTACACTGAGTGGTTTGTTTCTAGATGTAACATATACAAACTAATATAAGTAAAGCACTCAGATGTCAATATTTGTGTGCATACAGTTTCATGAAAATTTGGCATTGTCAGAATCTATAATTAATGCCAAACTCTGAAGTCATTTGTACAGAGATACTTGAAAACATTCAAAAAGAGTACGTCATGACATAGTCCTCTTCTGTGAGCTGTATTTTTTGTAATTAATGGCTGAACTGCTTGAGGCCAACTTTTTCTCACACCCGGAAGGTCATTTATTGTGTAGGAAGACGGATCTTCAAAATGGCAGCTGGAATATGGATTATGTCCCATCTTCACCCTCTCAACAAGCATTAACAAAGTAAGTTTTTAAAAATACAAACATTTCAAACACAAGACAACAAGGATTGCTAGAGGGAGCACAAGAAAACAGTAGACTTACCTGAGCACTGAGAAGATGTTCTGTCATAGCTGGGTTTGCTGATAAATTCACAAGCACTTTTAGAACTTGAGTCTGAAATAAGAGGGGAAAGTATATTTCACTCAGCCATGTAACTGGAAATCATTGTGAAGCCACCCAAAGGTTTCCATTTCTGGTGACAGTTCCCATAGGCAGTGTTCCCTCTAAGATGAGTTCGTGTGAGCTAGCTCACAGTTTTTTAGCCTCTGGCTCACACATTTTTGTCTTTGCTCAGGAAGGATGGCTACAGAGCAAACTATGCAGCAGCCAAACTGCTCACTCACATCTTTAATGCCAGTAGTTCACAAAGTAGAATATTTGCTCACAAGACTCCACAGCATAGAGGGAGCACAGGTGCATCCTAGTTTGCAATCCTAACACACTAACTGTGAAGTAAGTCTAGTTGAATTCAGGAGGACTGCTGAGACAACAGGCACAGGACGGGCAGTGACACAGGTTAATGGGAGTAAGAATGGGTAAGGCGGGATATAAATAAATAACCTGACTCCAAAGCTGCAATGCAGCAGGAGGCGCATCAGCATCTTTTGTCTTCTGGGACCACCACTTCACCTCCATACCAGCCTTTAACATAAAGCTAAAAAACTGGGGGAGATGTTCACCACTCAAAGAGCTAATGCATTTTATTCAGTTTTAAAACCACTCCGCTTCTATAAACATACAGTTTCGTCTTTCTTTACAAAGACAGAAAGAAGCATAAGTGTCATCTTGTGGCACCAACATGTTACTACACTCAACCAGGCAAAGTGTACTGGACAAAATGGACTCCGGTCCTATGAATGGCAAAAAATTGCTTCCCTGCTCTGGGTGAAATTACTTAATTAGTTACAGTCTAAATAGATGCCCCCTCGCCCTAAAAAATTGTCTGGAACCTCTACAGCTTGAAAAGGCCAAATAGCTATATTCCCACTTATTTTTAAATGTATTCATGGAGGTATTTTTAATGGAAAAGAAAACCACTTTTCTCCCCTCAGATACTACACTGATACTATTTCTTATATGTATGTCTATTATGTTTTTTTCAGAGTAAGCAGAAACAAACACAGAAAGCTAAACTTGAGCTTTAAGTCACAGAAGAAAAAAGAGCACGCTCGAGATTTTACATCTAGGACAGTATATAATACCTGCGTTCGTTCATCTCCATCCAAAAGTAAATGGAGAAAGCATGGAATGGAGCTTGTCATCATGTGATGATAGTAATTGGTAAGAGACATATTGGTTAAAAAGCGAAGACCAGCCAGCTGCAGCTCAGAGTTCAAGGGTGAGGAACTGGTTTCCTCACAGATTTTGGTAATATATCTCTTAGAGAGGGAAAAGAAAAAAAATATTATACATAACCAAGATGTTCTTATTAAGGAATTACAGTGTAAATATTAAATTCTTCAGTGATTTAGGGTGGGGCAGTCATGGCTCATGGGTAGAAGTTCCCCTTGAAGGCAGGCAGGGGTCATCAGTTTTTACTGACCCTGAGTGGGAGGAGTTTCTCTCACAATTCCCAGTTCTGGCCCTGTCTGGCTTGCAGACAGGTGGTTGTCTCACAACACTCATTAAGGAATGCACTGACTCCTTATTTCAGTTTTTTTCCTTGTATTCTCTTCCTCCCTCTGCCTAACTTGACAGGCTCCATCTTCTGTCACTGCAGGGGCAGGTTTAGGGGTGCCTTTCTGACATACCCTCCCTTCAGTCCAAGGTTCTCTTCCTGGAAGGGGAGGAACACTGTGGGGCCTCCATGCTTCAGCCAGAAGCTTCCCCTGTCTGAGGCAACAGGAATGTCAGCAGCTGCAGCCAAGGTGCCTGTTTCTCAGGATCAGGGGGAGGCATGCTCTGGCCACCTGACCCAAGTCTGGCTGAGCAGGGCTTTGAGGCCTCATGATACTCTCAACATCACCCTGGTTTCCTGGGAGCCTGTGGCTGAGCATATCTTCTCTCACCACAGTCATCCAGAATGGTAAGCAGAAGGGCACTCATTTTAGCTAGTGGGACTGAGGTCCCCACCACCACCATTCTCCTTCAGGGACAAGGTGGGGGAAAAAGGGTGGCAAGATGGCTGTGCATGCCTGTCTTGCACATTTAAGAGGAGTGTGGGCCATCCTCTTTCCAGTTCAATTCCTCTCCCTCCCCTTCTAGAGAGCAGGATTGCCTCCCCTCCAGTCAGGTTAGGCCAACAGACTTGCAGGGCTCAATCACTTGGATGAAAATACATAAGCAAGCTTCTTGGCTTGGATCAAGGGAGAAATGCAGAATGCCACCCTAGCTTAAGCTTTTCATTAAAATGAATGTTTCTAGATCCTTCGCCCATGGAGATATACGGAAAATGCATATCTGTAAGGGAAAGGGGTAGAGACCGTTTTTTTCAGTAATGCTGGGAATTCAGAGAACCTCCTAAGCCTATTGTTACAACATTCCAGTGATATATCAATATTTAATGTTGTTTAAGAAAGGGGGGGTTGTGACACCACCAATGACCTTGAAAGTCCTCATTACTGAAGGGAGAAAATGAATTGACTCCACAATTGTGAAAGTGTACAGGGAGGGCAGATATGCGGAACGACTGTGCCCAAACCAATTCCAATGCATGTGGATCGACTCCAGAGAAAATTAGGAGTAGGTGAAGCATGCAGAAAAGTCCACAATGACAAAGGTCTCATTAATTTTAATACAGTTGGATTGCTCTAAAAGTCCTTTATTACTTCATTATAAGTTGGCATACCCTTTTTATTTCAGTTTCTTATTTAAACTTACTTTTAGCTCTTCTTGATTTTTAATATTCATACTCAAGTTATTAAGAGCATTCAGTGCTTTTTCTTTGACATTAGTAGCTGGAACTGATAGCATGCTTCCAATAACAGAAAGGCCACCTAAATTTCGAATTATATCCTACAAGTTAGACGGGAAAAATGTCATTAGTAATTGTCTTAATTTAAATTTCTAGAGTAAAGCACAATTCCTCTTAACTTCAAAGCAAATTCTGCCTTACTTGACAAACAATTAAGCAGTGTAGCTTTACTACTGTCCAGTATATGAAAATACCATAAATCTTTCATCCAAACAGTAATTATCTATATTACAATTCTCATCTCCAAAGGGCTGTGCATCCATGGATACAGAAGCTTTTCTGGAAGCCCTGTCCAGTCCACACAGAGCTCTTCAGGCTCCCCTTAGGCACACCAAAAGCAACTTCTGAAGGTTGGGGAGCTTTTGCAATGCCATGGATATGAACATGGGTGCAGCTGGGGAGGAACGAGTGAACTTCCTCCAGTATGAGTAGAACAGAAGAGCATTCCATTCACACACCTCTGTTTTGATCTCAGCTAATGTATGAAGGGTGCACCCTTTCTCTTCTTTCATTGTCTACTATCAATCTACTATCTATTCCTCCCCTACAAAAGTTCAGGGAAGCATTTTATGCACACAACAACCCTGTAAAGTCGGTTAGGCTGAGAAAAAGTAACCTGTCCAAGGTTGTCCAGTGAGCTTCATGGCGAAATGGGGATCTAAACCTAGGTCGCCCAGCTCCTCAGTCCAGACGCTATGTTACACTGGCTCTTCACTGACAATGATTTCTCCATTTTCTCATTGGCGTACAGCTATAACACATCACAGTAAAATACTGCTTTAACACAAATACTTACCTGATTGACAGAGAAGGCAGCGCTGTTGCTGAGTGTAATCAAGGCTTGTTCCTGAATTAAAGGATCCTCCACAGACTCAAGTAAATAAATAAGACTCTGTATGTGGTGTACCTCTAGACCATCAGGAGATACTGGAAAATTCATGCCTACTAGTATTGGGAGACATACACATCACCTGAAGTCAGCAATTTTTCTACAGCAGGCGTGGATGGCAAAGAAGAGCAGCATGGGAGGGGCTACCTCTACAAGAAGTACTGCTATTATAAGGAAAAGATTCGAGTCCACTAGCTCCTTAAATACCAGGAAGATTTCCAGGGTACCAGCTTTTGAGAATCAAAGCTCCCTTCATCAGGTAAAAGGTAAAGGTTCCCTTGCTTGAAAGCCAGTCGAATCCGACTCTAGGGTTGCGGTGCTCATCTCCGTTTCAAAGCCGAAGAGCCAGCGCTGTCCGAAGACCTTTCCGTGGTCATGTGGCCGGCATGACTAAACACCAAGGCACACGGAACGCTGTTACCTTCCCACCGAAGTGGTACCTATTTATCTACTTGCAATTTCTTGCTTTCGAACTGCTAGGTTGGCAGGAGCTGGAACTAGAGATGGGAGCTCACTCCATCATGCAACACCCGGGTCTCGAACTGCTGAACAGGTATAAGCTTTCAAAAGCCAAAGCTCCCTTTGTCAGCCTTACTGGAGTTGAATTTTTAAAAATTAATTATTTTTATTTTACATTATTCATAGTCCACCTTTCTCAACTGTGATTCAAAGCAGAGTACACAGAGTGAGGCAACAGGATGGGACATCCAATAAGCAACACAATAGGATTAGGGTTGCAGAATCAGCCAGAAGTCTAAAAACAGAACCGAAGCAAAGCAGCAGTATTAACATGACACTTGTTTTTCTACTGCAGACCAACACAGCTGCCTAGGTGAAACTATTACAAGGACATACCAGGTAGGAAACATAAGCCTCCCTTTCTAAGAAACTAACAATGGGTTCCAGCCAACCAGTTTTTCTACTGATGAAAAAGGAAGTAAGAGGTCTCCTTTGACCTTCAAAAGGCTACGTTTGGAATCATGGACAAAAGCCATGGGGAGCAGGAGCTGTAATGAGGGGAACTATACCACCACTGTCACGGTACCTTAAAGGATGCACTGATGAGGCCCTGAGGAAGAATCTGGAATTGGATAGAAGATCTGATAAGCCATCTCCATGTGGGCATAACATCATAGGACACTTGGAACTGAATTGATCCATCTTGGAGTCACGATATTAATAACTGACTGAGCACCGTTGTTTTTAATGATGTTGGATGTTTTTATTATGTATTATATGTTTTAATCATGGCATGGATGTACCTTGCCCTTGTGAGCCACCCTGAGCCCATCGGGGAGGGCGGGATACAAATACGAAAAATAAAATAAATAAATAAACGGCAAGATTTAGTGAAAAAGTTGGCTGGCTCAAACCCCAAATATACCTTCTGTTCTTGCATGAACGTGGTCTCCTGCAAGAGCTTTCTGTCCATTAGCTGGCCTTTTTCAAACACCACCACCTTTCTAGTCAAAAAGCAGATGATGTTTCTCTTCTTCATTTTCTCTGCACACCTCCAAATCTATGCAGTTAATATTTTCAACAGTATATATTTGCTAAGTGTTTAAGAACCTTCAGCACAGGGACTGGGAAAGTGTGTGCTATTGTCACTGTTCAGGACTGAAAACATATGTGTGCTATCTCTTCAAATAATTAAAGGGGGAGGGAGATTACCTGATCCCACCCACAGGTGACATTAGATATCCCCCTTCTGTAACACGTGTACTTCTCCAATTGTACTATGGGATGCAAACACGGGATGTAACACAAATATCAGTGTGGCACTACCATTTTAAATCCACTTTCACATGAAAGCAGGAGAGCATCTCTTTAAAAACTCAAAGAAATCCATTTATAGGTGGTCTCCAAATCATCTTCTTTGGGTGACTTGTTATCAGAAGATTGTATGCCAAACCCCCAGTAAATATGGGACCCACGGAGTAGCAAGCATGCAGTATCATGGTCACACGACAGGAATAGGGGGCACCTAAGTGATAACTCTATGAGAATCAAACCAAGAAACTGGAAGCTGTGCTTCAGAAAGTGCATCAGTCAGAGGAACCCTCTCCTGCCAAAGGAGCTGGCCTTGCTGTCACACACATGAAGCTGCCTTACACTGAATCAGAATCAGACCACCGATCCATCAAGGTCAGTATTGTCCACTCAGCCTGGCAGCAGCTCTCCAGAGTCTCAGGTCTTTCACATCACTTACAACTTGATACCTTTGTAACTGGAGGTGCCAGGGAATGAACCTGGGTCACAGTAACAATGAGACTATGCTACTGTAATGCACTGTACACTGGTCTCCTCTTGAAAGCAATTTGGAAACTCCATCTGGTGCAGAAAGCTGCAGCTCAGCTATTATTAGCAGCTAGACAGAGCATGCACATTGATCTCATTATGCAGACGTTCCATTGGCTGCCCATTTGTTACTGGACTCAATTTAAGGTACTGGCTATCACAAACAAAATCCTTCATATCCTTGGTCCCTCTTATTTGCAGGACTGCCTCTCCACCTATGTTCCACCATGACAGCTTTGCTCAAGTCAGCAGGGCCTTCTGCGTGCCAACCTGCAAATGGGTTAAATCGACAACTGCCCATACACATGCTTTCTCCAATGTAGCCCCCACCTTATGGAATGGCCTGCCTAGGAGGTCAAGAAGGCTTCCACTCTTTCGGGCTTTCTACAAACTATGCAAAATAGAATCATTCAAGAGGGGTTTTTTTCTGTACAAGTAGGGCTGCACTGTATAAAGTGGCTTAAAAACTTACTGGATAAATTATTAGGAACTGTGGTCTATACTGCTATGCATAGGATCTGCTATGCATAGCATACTGCTATGCATAGGATCCGACTTACTATAAGTCGGATCCTATCATATAATTTCGCACCACTTAATGTGTCATGTTAATACTTATGCTTTGCTTCAGGACCTTCCTGTTGGTTGCAAAATTCTACAATCCTAATGCATTGTTTACTGACTGTCCCATTTTGTTGACTGTACTGACTCACTATGTGTAATCCGCCTTGAGTCCTTGCAAGAAAGGTGGGCAATGAACAATGTAAATAAATAAATGCCAATCAGATGCTGTATCACTGAGTCATGGCCGCTCTCCATCTTCCTGCTCCTCTCAGTTTGCATGCAAAGAGAGGCAGGTGTGTTGTACCCTTCCTCTCTATGTGTGCACGCCAGCAGCAAGCCCTTCCAAAAACCAGGCGGAAAATCATGCCTTTTGGGCTCACCACTCAACAGGACTAGCTGTATCTAAAGAAGTGAGCAGTGACTCATGAAAGCTCATATCCTGCCACAAATGTTGTTACTCTTTAAGGTGTTGCTAGACTCTTGCTCTTTCCCACTCAAAATGTGGTTCTCTGTGGCCCACCTTACGCTCTCAGACCATCAGTTGAAGTTCGCAGCTCTAGTTGACCAAAGCCTTACCTTGCTGGAGATGGCTAGAATCTTTCTGCCCTGTGCTGGAGAAAATGTTTTGGCCCAAGACTGGGGCCTGTTCTGGGATGGCCATCTGGGCTTCCCCCCAAGAGGTCGACCCCAGTCTCTGCTCATGCTCCTTACGGATGCTTTCTCCTTTCAGGCCTGCTTCTTCTGGTCCTTCATTTTTTCTCTTCCTGGAGGTCGCTCTGTAAACATAGTAACAGACACCAGCCCCAACCACCACCAGCCCCACCAGCCCTCCCCTCATCAGGAACCCTCTGGAATTCCTCAGAAACATTGCCAAAGCTGAAGCCAGCTTCTGAAGTCGGGCAGTTAACAGGACATCCAGACGTGCGCTGGGAGCTCCGTGGTTGGAACTCCCTGAGATTTGTGAAAGTTAATTTTGCAGGAAAATAGTTTTTTTTTTAAAAAAATCACCGGGAGCTCCGAACACAGAAACCCCAAAGCATGTCTGGAGAAGTGCCAGATGCGGCGAGGCGGCTGAAGCAGCTAAGGACAGTGCTCTTTCTGACAGGAACCGAGAACGGGGCTCCTCCCACTGCCCTGGAAGAACAAGTTTAAAAACATGCCGGTCCTTAAGGCATTCCAAGACTCCTGTTTCACCTGCAGGGGGTGTGTGGCTTCTCCGCCACGGCGATAGCATGGGGGGCGGGCGTCAAACACCCCCCCCCCCAAACACACCACGGAAAATTCTCTTCGCATGCCCCCAAATGCGTTCTCTATTATTCCCCGAGGTTCCGGTCTGTCATCTTGGTTTCTGGCAGAGCTCCTGAGAGGCGGCAGATATGCAAGAGGTTCTCTCACCACGTGGAGGAGAAGACGCACTAACCAGTCATGCATTTCCACTGAGCACGCTGCACGTCCAGTCTCTGTCCACAGAAATACCCGCGTGTCGTGCGCGGTAGGGAATGTTATCCCCCCCATTTAAGACTGGCACTTTTTCTCATCCCTCTGAACATACGGCTGTGTGACAGGTAGAAACGCAACCGGCGTAGCACTCTCTCCCCTGTTGAATATCTGTCTGACCAGCAGGGCCAGCCGCTGTTTCCCAGGGCAGGGAGAAGGGGGCAGCCAAAGCAATCCCCTCCGGAAAATGCCTCCACTGCCCTTGGGGAAGCCGGCCGTTTGCCCCTCTTGTTCGTTCGCATCCTCCCCTCCGAGAGGCCGCCGAGGTTGAATTGGGGGCGAGGTTGAATTGGGGGCCGGCCGGCCGGAGACTTCGCTGACCAGGCACGGGCCTGGCCGGAGGGAAGCCGCAACCCCGTCGCTAGGCGACCGCGCGCGGCAGCTGCGGGGGGTGCGAGCCCAGGCCCCCCCCCCCCCCCGGTAAGCCCTACAGCAGGGCACTGCTCGCCCCGGCCATGGCTACCTTTCAAGACATGGACCCCGCGCTCAGGGTCTACTTCAAGAAACACTCCATACCCGACATCTATGAGGTAAAGGCTTCTCCCAGTTAGTTCCTGGGCAGGGAGGAGGCGGAGGCTGGGTGCAGGACCACTGCCCCCTATATACAGGGGGCAGTGGCAGGACTGACAGAACGAAGTACCAGGGGAAATGAAGGCCGCTCCTACCTTATTTGGGTTCCCTTCTGGCCACTGGGGCGTTATGCATTGTTATTTATTTTCAATTATCAGTCAATACAAATGGAACGCCACACTTGCAAGAGAACGATTGGCCTTGTGTAACTTTTCTTCTGGGATTAATTATTTTATCATTTGTCCTAAGTGGGGTGCTGTACACGAGTGTCATTTTTATTTGTTTTAAATAGGTCCAATGAACAGTAAAAATGCCACTTGTATATGTCACTTGCAAGAAGGGAATAAATGGGATTTGTTAACTTTATGCACCTCCTTCAGTGCAGGGTTCAATAGGCTGAGAGGGAAAATAGTCTGATGACATACACAACCAGGAATAAAACTGGCTTTATTCCAGCATAAGCCTTTATGGTTGAAGAATTCACTTCATGTGATTTAATGGGTCCTCACTAAGTAGGCATTTATATATGGTGATACAAAGCAATTTACTGATAAACAGTAGAGTCAAGGGGTAGTGAAATGCTTGCAGGGATGTTATAAGAAGTTTGTCATGTTGTCAAGAGACTGTTCACAGTTTCAGTAAATGGCCATTTGTCTAGTTTAGGTGAAGTACTTAACACATCTATAATGACTGAGGCATGCCAGGTTTGTAAAGACAGTTAACACCAACAGGGAACGGGGACTTCAAATTCTCTTTCAACTGTCAGACCGATTGGGTGGAACCTCTTAAGGAGAGGGCAAACTAATCCATGCCATACTTATATGAGTTCAAAAGCCTGGTAAAATCTAGATTTGATTATTTTGTCCCCCCCC